TGTAGAACCTTGCCTTTCAAGAGCTTAACACCTCAAATGTGATGCCTCAAATGAGTCACAAACACCAAATGCAAAAGGAGGCTTATAAGAGAGAGGTTAGGAAGCACAAATCGGCTAGGGTTTCACCTTGGAAATCTTGTGTCCGGTTTTAGGATCCTAGGGGTTACTTTTATAGCTTGGAATTCCTAGGGTTTCTTACATGTAAACCCTAATTCACCATGACTCTTCACATTTGATGGCCCTTTGGACTAAACCCTAATGTACTCTCATATAGATTTAGTCCATGCCTAATCAACATGGATTATTAGCCAACATAGATCATTAGCCCAAACTATAATGATTTCTCAATTAATATATTATTCATATAATATATTAATAAATCACAAATAACCTCTTTCTCAAATATCTATCCTATCAAATTGCTCCGGTGAAGGCAACCCAAAAGGACCATGCTACTATCGGGTCAAGTGCATACCAATTATAGTTATGGGCTTAGACACCTAATCCAACACAATGTGCGTTCAAAGTCAAATTTCAAAAGAAGTCCAACTACTAAAGATGGAGTTATTCATGTAGAAGATTCATATGTGCATCTTGTAGTCAAGTCGTGAAGAGATCAAGAAAGAGCTGAAAGTCGAGATCAAGGAAGTTTGAAAAGAAAAGAAAGCTATAAACCAAGGGGGAGATTGTTAGGACATAAATTTGTGGTTTATACTTTGCTTTTCAATGCTTTTATAGTTTTCGGTTTAGGACCGAAATCTCCATGATCTCGGATGTGTTTGGACTGAAATCACCATGTGATTTCGGTGGGCTTAAGATGATTTTGGCTTTCGGTATTGGGATGGGCCTTTGTATTTAGGTCTAGGTATATATAGTGTTATATGAGCCATGTTAGTGAGAGAGTCAGTTAATCATTCTGAGAAGCACATATCGTGTTCTAGAGAGAAAGAGAGAACCAAAAGTGTAAGTGTGAATCTTATGTACCCGACTATTGATCAATAATAGTGTGCATTGAAGATTAATCATCGTGTTCTTATTCCATATTATATCTTGCATCATTCACTAGATTGGGATTCTGCACCATCATAATGAAATCGATTGATACATCACGAGATTGGGTCTTACATTAACCATTAACAATATTGCGTTGCCTAGCCTCCAAACTTGTCACTTCATCGATATGTTCACAATAATATATTTCTACATTATCTAGTCTGTTCTTAAATTCTAATAAGTTTCAATCAATATCACATTCCCAAGTTCTTTTTGCACGTCACATATCGATTTGCAAACCAGTGACTTATAAATATCAAATATTAACTTCGTTATTTTCAATAACAAAATGCATATAAATATATGAAATCTCTCACTGTATGTGAACATATAGATTTGCCATTTGTTATGTAATCGGAATAACAGCTATTAAAACACACACACACACACACACATATATATATATATATATATATATATATATATATATATATATATATATATATATATATATATATATATGGGGATAGGGAATATACTGTACGGCCCCACCTAAGCTTAGGTATTAAACTTTTAAAATATGTCGTTTTAACTTAGTAAATATATCGATTTGGTTTTCATTTGGTAAATATATCATCATCGATAACATTTATTTCCCCCATTATCATTTTACCATCACTGTTTTCTTTCATCTATTATCGTTTATTATTCTATCCCAGTGAACATTATTTTTTTTCACTGTCACGAAAGTCGAAGATAATCAATATTTTTGCTTCCTTATCAAAACTATTGCGTCGATCTTGAATCTACATCTTCAAGTGTTAATCGTGAATCCACTAACCGCAATCTTTATATAGTAAAACAATGTATTTTCATGAGGTTTGGTACCTAAGCTTAGATGGGACTGTAATGTATATTCACTTTTCCCTATATATATATATATATATATATATATATATATATATATATATATATATATATATATATATATATATATATATATATATATATCATAGCCGGTGGTAAGGGGGGGGGGGGGGACAACCTGGGCTTGTGCACAGGGCCTGGTTTTTTAAGGGGCCCAAAATTTTTTTTTTTAATATATTTCAATTGCAGCCCATTTTTTAATGTCTTAGCCCAAATCAATTTAGTTTTCTTAGTCCACAACACAAAATAAGGCAGAAAGTCGGCAGCGACAGCAAGGGTTTTACTCTTTAGAGATTATTCATCAATTTTATTATTGATTAATTGATTGACTATCAATTGGCTGTAGCAGAAGAGAAGCACCATCGTTTGTAACTTCAAATAAGGTAATTGTCTAATTGATTATTCATTTATTGAGATAATCATATTAATAGTTTTATTAGTGTATAATTGAATGAGGATTGATGAGCAATTGAACTTGAATCATTATAGAATAATTGAACTTGAATCATAATCAAAATTTACTAATTCAATTAAGATTGAATGTTGTTTATGTGATTATTAATTGAAAATCGAAATTAAGTTGAAATCAATAATTATATGATTGAGTGTTGAAATTCTGTTGAATGTTGAAATTGTGATTATTATGATATTATCTAAAATCTGAAATTGTTTATTTGATTGAATGTTGAAATTATGTTGAAATTTATCAGATGCTGAAATCAAATTATTAGATTATGTTTTTTGTATTTAGTTGAATATTAAAAGTTGAAAGTAATGAACTTGTAGTGATGAAGTCTAAACAACCATCCGGTAGTCAAAAACGTAAAAAGAGAAAACTAGAAGAAGAAAAGAGAAAGGTCGATGTCGGTGCTCTAGATAAATTTATTCATAGACAACCTGTTGAAGAGCCTATTGAAGAGCATGTTGAAGAGCATTTTGAACACGAAGAAAATGTAGAAGTAGAAGTAGAAGAGGCAGAAGAGCAAGAGTCCGTTAAAGAGCTTGTTGATATATGTGATCCAAGAAGGTGGGAAAAACTTAATTATGAAGAGCTTAAACTTTTGGTTGAGAAGGGTCCTAAAAGAGATACTAGTATTATGTATGGTCCCTACGATAAATCTAGTAGACGATTTTCTGCAGCTTTATATACAAGAACTTTACCAAATTTGGAGAAGTGTGATAGAGAATGGCTAGTATATTCGAAAGAGCTCGACAAGGTATTTTGTTTTTGTTGTAAAGTGTTTAGAAGTTTTTGGAAACCAATGAATTTAGCAACCCTATAGATGTTTTGAAGTTTTTGAAAGAACTTGATTATTTCCCAAATGCAAGCATTGCATATAGAATATTGTTGACAATTCCAGTAACGGTGGCATCTGCAGAAAGAAGTTTTTCTAAGTTGAAGTTATTGAAGTCTTACTTACGCTCCACAATGTCCCAAGAAAGACTTAGTGGTTTGGCGATGATATCTATCGAGAATGAAATCTTAGAGAGTATAGACTACGAAGAGTTGCTCAACCAATTTTCTATCAAGAACGCGAGGAGAGCTTCACGGATCGTCGGTTAACTGTACGATATGTAATTATTCATTAAAATACTATGATTTTGCTATGTTTATTGCTATAAAGTTTATTGTCATTTTAGAAAAATATTAGTTTATGTAATTTTAATTCGTTACACTTTAAGACCTAAGGGCCTTTTTTTCCGGCTCGTCCTGGGCATTTGAATTCTCGGGACCGGCCCTGATATATATATATATATATATATATATATATATATATATATATATATATATATATATATATATAATATATATATATATATATCAATTGTTGTATGAAATAAACTACAAGACATATTCAAGTAAATAATGATAAGACAAAAAATACTAACTTTATTTGCATAATCATCATCATCAACATCACAATCATTAATCGACATTCAACAATCATTTCTTTATTTGATCTTCAACAACTATTTATGATTTCATCAAATGGCAAAATTACATGATGCAAAACAAACAATTGTAAAGCTACCATAATATTTACACGTTCTTTCTGCATCAAGAATGTATAGAATTTATACCCGTTTTGCCAAATATCCACAACCTCCTCCAATCTCCATCACCCACCACAACTGTCATACCATACCCCACCAATACAGTGTCACTTAGATCTTCCGGTCATCAATCTTGCCCACCGACCCGTAGCCTTCATGCACATGTACAAATATGTCAAAAACCAAAAGATCCAAGGAGAACCGATAAGTAGTAAAGCGGCAACTGCAAACAATGGGTGGGTAGCATGTGGCTCGCAAAAATATAATATAAGAAAAACACCACCAATAAGTACAAGAAAACATAATAAAGAAGTGATTAAAGATATTATGAAGTCATCATCCTTTCCATCTCCCATTTTTAACTACTTTTTTACTTTTTTGTGTTTGTATCTCTCATTCAGAATTCTTCCCTTTTCTACATGTTCTTCTCTTTCTTACATTCCTTCCTTTAAGGCATTGTTTTATATGTCCAAAGATCATAATAGACCTTTTCAATCTCCGATTCATTTTTAGTGCATGTGTTAGGAAACTATCATGAGACCAGGTCTTGCTATTCAGATTTTTTTTATTTTTTATTATTTTTTATTTTTTTATTTAAGATTTTTGGACATTTGTGTGGCTAACATTACCTTTCACCTATTTGTGTGGTTTTTTCTATGTTAGATCTTCAAAAGTTGAAAGGGTAAGCATGTCATTTTAGTTTTTGTAATTAAGTTTCATAAATGATCATGTTACTTAAAAAAAAATTAGATCCTTATTAACCGGGTATCTTATTTTATTATAAATAAATACATTTACACCATATGCACTTAAGCATTGATCTTAAAAGTATAAGTTTGTGTTATTGACTATTGTTCTAATAATCTAACCATTTTTAGGAATTAGTTGAAATTGTTACTTATTTTATTATGGAACAAACGTGAGGCAACCATGATTCATATTTTTCTTAATCTATAGTTCTATACAACAAAATGATTTAGATGAAATATACGATTACGTTTCATTCCATTATTTCCAAAACTATAATTCGCAATAACATTTCACATGTATGTTGAATACATATATCTTACAAAATCACAAAACCCATCATCCAACTTTAGGATTATTGATAATACTTTATATACATAACCTTAACACCACCCAAATCAACAACATGAATTTTCAATACTAATTTACTCATTAGCTTTTTGGATCATCATAACTCCCAAAGTGATAAGACTTGCGTATATTGAAGTGGGTAGCTTTTGAACCACCTTCCCAATGCCTGGAACACCTTCGGTTGACCTCTTTGTGGCTATAGCAACGGTTGGTGCTATTGCTAGAGTGATGAGGAGTCCTTGAGTCACATACACAAATGTATCCGCTGTTAGCCTTTTCACAAACTCCTCAAATTCTTCACGGTTGAGTCCCCCATCAAGATCCATATCACATTCCTAAGTCAAATAAACAAAAAAAATTAAAGAAAATACCATCGCTATGGGACCCACAAAATAAAATTTGTATGCCAAGACTTGTACTAATACAATTTGTTTTAATGGAATTTAGAACACACCTGCATCAAGGTTCTGATTTCGTCCTTCTTTGGGGGATCAAAATGAGGCCCTGGCAAATTCTTGTTGAGATCGCTACAATCAAATAAAAATCAACTGCATAAGTTCAAGATCATGGTTTTTAAGGAAAAATACAACATTTTGCATATACAGTAAGGGCATTTACGTCTTTTGCAAAAACAAGTACAACTTGTTATGTTGTGTCATGTGTAATAAATTAAATGGGACGTAAATGATCTTACTTGAACACAAGTAACACGGCGATGTATAAGTCTTCAAATGACATATTTGCCCTTCCATCATCATTCTTGAAACGATCAAAAACTTTGTCACTTATCTTTCGTATTTGCTTTTCTCTCCATTGCTTGCCTATACAAAGTGTCAAAATTAAAACCATTGGCATTTAAAGACAAAGATCTTTAACTTTTTAAGAGTGCCCAAGTCCCATAAGATGGATTTTGTACAAAATCAAAAAGCTAGATTCTTTTTACATTTAAGCATTTATTTGAACGATAATGGAAATAGTACAAACTTATACCCCATCAGTCGTGTGAAAATTGCAATAAATCGAAAAGCATGAAACGATTTATACAATTTGTTAGGATCATATGGAATCAATTTAATCTTCAAATTTAACAAACCCCAAATCCATAAAGAAAAGCAGGAACTGGAATTGGGAACAGTCAGGGAAAGGGGTTCGAATTTAAATTTATACCCATTTATTATACCATAAAAACATGCATAAATTGGTCAATCTTTAAATTAAACAAAATCAAAATCAACCCCGATAGATTACAACAGAATCACAGAAGAACAAAAGCAGGATCCGGGATTAATCGAAGAAAGTGATTCAATTTACATGAAAAAGGTGTAGATATTTATCAGCAGCAAAAATATCATAAAATCAATCAATCTTCAAACTAAACAAAACCCTAATCGATATTGATGGAAATTAGCAGCAACAGACTCGAAATTTGAAGGTAAAAAGCAAGAAACAGGTATATGAAGAAAATCACCTTGAAGTTTTTCCAGGATTTGTCCCATATTGCAGTAAACGAATAGATATTAAGAAAAAGAAGGAAAAAGGAGACTATATTCGTGTTGATTAGTTGGGAAACGTAGACGTCTACGTAAGATCGGGATCAAATATAATTTGTATTTATGGAGGCGGGTCAACTTCGCTTGGGGATCAAAGACATTTATTTGTGACCGTATATCAGCCTCGATAGAAGATAGCTTCCACTTGGACCGCTAGTTATGCTTTGAGGTTTGAGGCTTTGAGAATTGCGATAGAGGAAGTTAAGATTTTATTTATTTATCGATCATTGTACTATTTTTAAATATATTTCTTAAAACATGATAATGTTAATTATTTTAAGTCATACGATTTCATTCATATGATTCAATATGTAACATCAAAACATTAAAATAAACTTGTTAGAAATCCAATCTATTCAGATTGGTTGATGATAATGACGGATTTCGAAAAAAAATCAGTTGAATCCACTAATTATATTAACAAATTACAATTAAACCATGAAAAATAGATAAATTTATAAAACGACAATCATCCAATAAAAACAAAACTTAATCAACAAAATCAAATCAATTTTATATTAAAAAAAGATCAATTTTATAAAATAAATGATACTTTTGACGGGGTTGAGTCGAAGTAAAAAAGGCAGAGCCAAGATGGAGATTGTCATACTCTGTCCCGTAACGATAATAGGGGCAAACTCATAATCACATAATATAGTCACACAGTAGACTAAATCGAAATTATTTAAATTAATGTTATTGAATGTTTAAACTCATAATCACATAATATAGTCACACAGTACACTAAATCGAAATTATTTAAATTAATGTTATTGAATGTTCACAATATATTTTGTAAACAAACCACTATTTGATCTTGTTTAAACCAATAAAACATCCTAAATATGTTCAAAATTTCAACGGTTAAATCAATAAAATTATAGATATTTATGTGTAAAAAAATTCTAACTATATATCCGTCAATAAACACTTAAAAGTAATTTTATGCTTATTAATGCCAAAATTAGGAGAGCTAATGTTTGAATGCGTATAGCCGACTCATTTTGATTATCTTATCGTCAGATCAAAATCCAAGTCGGTCAATAGTACACAAAGATACATGCGTGCTCCACCGAATCTACTAAACCGAACCAAATGAGAATATCTATAATTTTTAAAATAATAAATTTATGCCAAACCCTGTAAGATCATCTTAACAAAGAAATACATTTGTGCAAACAACAATCATGATTTCCCGAAGGACCTAACCCACAAAGAATATCTTTTATACAAATAATATTGCTAATTCCCCGATTGGCCTTCCATGTAATGTACCCTAGGACGTGTAATGACCCAAACTTTCCCAATCCGTCATCGAGGTTAGTTTTCCGTTATGGATCATTATTAAGTTACTTTTAACAAGGTTAAAGTTAACTTTTAGAGGTCAAAGTGCAAGAAAACTATGTTTGATCATATACATAGGTCATGAAGTCATTTTACCACACTTAAAGGGCCTGGAATGAAAGTTATGATGTATTTAAGTAACCCCTAACCCTAAATCCGGGATTAAACCCTAATTTACAGCCTCCACACCACTTTGAAAGTGAGTTCTTGAGTATATTTCCTTTCTTGAGGTGGTGGTGAAAATCTAAGAAGTTGTGGTGGTGATTTTGGTGCTTTCAAGTAGAGATACTTCTTTGTTGGGTTCAAGACTTCTTCCTTGCTTCTTCTCCTTGAAATTCATCATATTTCCAGAAGTATAAATGACTTTCTTACCATCCATCTCTATTTTTCAAGTCCTTGTCTTAATCCTTGAAGTATTTGGTGATGTTTGTCAAAGTTAGAAATCTGGACAAAATTTTTGATATGTTTTGTAAGGGCTGTAGAGCTCGATCTGGTCTGAATTATACGACGCCCCATACATATGAAATTGTATAAAATCGAGTATAGTTTCTAGAAAGCCCGATAACACCCCGTTTGGAGTTGTAGATTATGTTTTACACCCAAAACACTGAACATGGGTTGGGCTATGAAACATCAAAATATGAAACTTAGACTTTGTTTTCTGTTTTGATTTCTTGTTTCTAATCGAGATTTTAGGCAACCTTTTAGGGTTCTTAGTGATCTCTTGGAGAGTGTCTTCCTCAATTCATTGCTTCCCATAAATTGGATTTGAGGTGAGTCATTTCTTGTGTGGTTTTAGCACTAGTTTGGAAGGATAGCATACACCTATGTTGTGTTCTTGTCTTTTGATGTTGTGTGAAGTTTGAAATTGATTGTCTAAGGTAGAATGAAACATGTACATATAAGATTATTGAGGACACAATTGAACTAGGTAATTGATGTATTCTAGAACCTTGAACTAATCAATTGATGCAACATGCGAGTGTTAGGTCCATTCTAGAAGTGAGGACTTTTATGTGGTTGTATTGTGATGTTATGCATGTTATATTTTCTGTTTTTTCACTCTTGAATGAAACCAGGAAATGCATGCTAGATGTTGGGTTATTGAAAGGTGTATCTAATTATATTCCGTGATATATTTTTATATATACCTTGTGTTTGATATGCCTTGGATTGTGTGTTGGATAGATGTAGTATGCCATGGATTAATATTATTAATTCACTTGCATGATTACATAATTATATCGGTGAGTTGTGTGTTTTGCCCATATGAGATAAAGTTAATTAATTACCTAATTAATTAAATTAAAGGGTAAATACACGTAGTGGGATTAAATGGTAGAAACCTAACTTAGGTACGTGCCCTGATGAGTTGTCGTGGTGGAAGATTATCGATTGAGGAAAAGAGCCTAAGTCAAGTCGACGTCGAATGGTTTTCTAGATGACTATATCGAGACATGGTACTGGTACAATCGTGTGCCAAGATTGGAGTGATGTTGGCCATTGATGAGGTTGGATCAAGCATCACGTTTGGATGTAGGCATGCAATCGATGTTCTACTAAAACTCCCTCGAATGACAAAACATTGTCTTGTACGCGCAAGGTCGGAGTAGCGAAGACGTCAAACCAGGGACAGTGTTACAGGTGGGAGTCGTGCCCCATTTGGTGCACTGGGTTGCCAAGTCACGCTAGTAGGGAACATAGTCTTTATTTGGGGAGCGTTAGCGATGAATAGACCTTAGTTAGCGAGGGGCATTAATAGTAATTAAATGGAAGCAAATAAATAAATAATTATTGTGATGAAAGAATGTCCAGATTAATGTATATTCGTATATGTTAATGTTTATCGATGAACAATGCATGGATCGATGTGTTACATGACTTGCATGATGTATGTATATGTTTTGTTTCCATGCTTATGTGCTTGAGATTGACTCACTGTGCTGATACTGACACTTGTTTATTGCCTGTTGTTATGGCTTGTATTGGTACATGTAGCTTGATTATTGATGGCCTAGTGAGGTTGGGTTCTTATGGGTAGTTAAAGTCCTTTTGAATAATAGAGATGATACAAGTTTGAGACTTCATGTGATGTTTCATTTACAATGGGTTTTTGGTGTTTGTTTTGGTTAGATTTTACAACTATGGGTTTTGATTGGTTGTTTTTGAATGATTCTCTAAATAGCTATTGATGATGTTTTTTATAAGAATTCCGCTAACACTTTTCTAATAATAATTGGTTAAAATAAAAGAAAATTTTTGGGTGAAAAATCACGATGTTACAAGTTGGTATCAGAGCCATGTTGTGAGTGAATTGAATACAGAGGCTCGTGTTCAGACTCACAGTGTAGATGGGCTTAATTAGGTGCTTTAGGTTATTAAGGGGGGGGGGGGGAAGGGTGTGTGATGAGTGTCTTAGGATAGTGATTGTAATATTAAGAACTCTCTTTCCTAAAAATATCTACGAAAACCTAAAACTTATTAATTATTTAGAAACATGTCACACGCTGATGAAGATGCCACTGTTAGGGGTACTGGCGGAGACCAGGTCAACCATACCCTAGAGGCACCTTCGTTTGTTTTTCAGACCCCACCTGCTGGTCGTCGGCCACCAACCCAACCAACATGTAGTGGGCGCAACACTACGAGTGTTGCTATCATTGCTGATCTCTAGGAGCAGCTCGAGGCACGAGATGTTGAGTTACTGAGACGTGATCGGGCTATGGAGCGGATGCAACATGCTATACAAGTTATTGGTCACTTACCCCCGATGGATGAAGAAGATGAGAATAAGGAGCCACGCGACGTGATAGCTGAGAGCCGCTCAGTTACCTTAGAGCGGAGCAGGGATCCCAGTAGAGATCGTGACGAGGGGCGGGGCAGTTCCTTCAAAGCATTCACGGACCACAAACCCCCTGTCTTTCGAGGAGGAGATGACCCAACATTGTACATGCAATGGTTGTGCAAGATGAGGCAGATTTTCCGTTCAGGCGACTTCACTGAGTCACAGAAAATCAGTTATGCAACATTGAAGCTAGATGGTGATGCCCGTCAGTGGTGGGAGACATTGGATTCTGTTAGTTTTTCAAAATCTCATGATTATAAAAAGTTCTAATATATTAAAATACATTATTTTCGAAATAAACTTTTAAAAATGTTACAGTCCCCAGTTATTGCAAATAGGTGCCCAACCCAAAGGAAACAAACACATTACCTCAGTCCCCTCTGTCTTTCACCCTCAGCGCCTCGTTGACTCGCCACCCTATTCCGCCTCACCATAGATTCAACCTTGCAGCCCTTGCTCTGAGAACACAGTCTGCCTACTTTCGATCGCCTTTGAGTTTTATTAAAGTATTTTTGTATTTTTTTTCTTAAAAGTTAAAAAAACTATTTTTATATTTTAATGGTTACTGATTACTTATTTAGTTGTTGATTTGCTGTATGTTTATTGTTACATCTTAGGGATTGCTAATTAGCGAAATGTTAATTTAACCTAGATTTTGTTGAAAATAAATTTCTCTTTTGTTAACTGATACTTGTTAGGGTTTGGTTAAAATTGAAATTTCATTATTAAGGAGAATTTCAATTTAAATTAGGTATCATTTTCAATTTCAAAACAGAAGAAAATTGCATACATTATTATTTCTGAATCAAAAGATAACAAAAAAACCTCTTTATTGGCCATTTTTCTCCTCTCTAAAATCTTGGCTACATCTATACTTCTACGCTTATATAATTTAATGACCATTATATGAATTGTGAAATGATTTATAGCTTATTTTGTGTTATAAGATATAGCCTATATTAGGTGATATATGCAAGAGATTAAATTTTGTTTTGCATAAAGTTAAAAGGAGTGGTGTCACGTTTGCTACACTAAAAGTGCTGTCACGTAGGCGCCACCTCATTTTGTCACACCTCTAAAACATCTTTCCATTTAGGAGGGATGAACACTATTGCCATGCATCATTTTTTTTAAACAAAAAAAAATTATATAAAAAGTAATAGAAAACTAAAATTTTCAATAAAATACCAAAAACAAATACACTTTAAAGTAAAAGACAACCAACTTAAAGTTAAAAAACACATAAGACACTAGAAATTAAAACATGCAAAACATTAAAAAACACACAAGACACTATAAATTAAAACATGCGAAACATTAAAAGCACAACACTAGTTCATTCGAAATGTTGACGCCATTTGTCGCATCGACCCACAACTTGCCAAAACTCATCAAAACGGAAATGTTTGTTAGTTTCTTCATAGAAAGCCTCAAAAGATGCGAGATTCTAGGCATCCACGGACACGAGCAATTTCATGTAATTCTACGTTTGAGACACCGACTCCAAAGATGCGAGATTTGAGAAAGTTCACTTTTAATCCAGATGACGCGTATTAGCATTTAAAAATGTGGGACAGATTCCTGATGCTTGTATAATCCCATTCCCCATCAAAAGTTACGTCGTCGACATATAATAAATGTGAGATAGAAGGCCCATCTCCTGGTAATTTGACTCTGCACATTAAGAATTTGTCACAAGCACTCTTGATTGTAGTGTTTAGTCCCTACACGGAGACTATAAATATAAATAGGGATAGTGGGTCTCATTGTCTCACACCTTTCGATATTGCAAATTCCTCAGTTGGTGAGCCGTTTATAAGTACCGATGAGGAGGCTATTAGAATCAAAACTGATTTCGTTCAAAGGGCAACCTATCTGTTGGTCCAAGATAATTATCTAAAAGTTAGATGCTTCGTTTGGAGAGCTGCAATGGGTAGGATCTCAGTGGCGGATACTCTTGCGATAAGGGGAGTCATCACGCCTAACAATACATGCTCATTATGCAACAAAGAGACAGAAACAGTTGAGCATACATTCGTTACTTGTGAATATTTCCAGGTGGTGCAAGATTGGATCCTTAAGTGGTGTGGGATTACAATTAAAACATTCACATCTATAAGGGATTTCATTGATTTCACGGCTGCTTGGGGGAATTGTCCGAAAAAGAAATCTATATTAAGTATGATGTTTTATTGTCTCATTTGGAACATATGGTTGGTCAAAAATGAAAAAACCTTCAAGATGACTGGTACACCCCCAACAAAAACGGTTGATAACATCATCTCCTTGTCATATATATATGACGAAACACAAAAGCAACATTGGCTGTGACATTTGGGTAGACTGGAGTATCTTACCATTTAATCAACTATTCTCTTAGTTTCATATTCTTATTTCCATGTTTAGTTTTCAATTTGCATCTTATACTATATGACTTTGTATTGTTGTTTTGACACATTTAACTTGTTGCTTACGGTGCCTTTTAATGTTATTTGTCATTTCCAAAAAAAAAAAGAAAAAAGAAAAGAAAAAAAAGGGCGCTGATTTTTCCACATAAACTTTTTTATCCATCCACTGATATTTAAGTTCAATGACAATTATACCCTCATTTTAATTATACCTGTTTTTTTGCCAAATCTGGACCTAATAGTCTGTGCGATAAACATAGATCTAAGTTGGATTTTCATGTAACATGGGGAGTTGCAGGTTTTTAGCATGGGAAGTGTGTGTATCAGTCTTTACTCCCAACCATCTCCGAGTACCACTTTTTCACTTCCACAAAATCATACATTCTAAATGTTTACATTCAATTCTATTAGAATCCATGGATAACTGAAATACGAAAGTAACAGTATCTCAATTTCTAAAATCAAAAGTGGATTAAAAATTTCCATTCATACCCTTTTATGATCAATAAAAATGAAGCAAGAAATAGTTACAAAGTGAACCAAGCAACAAAATAATCGTTTCATTTAGCAGCCAAACAAGAATATGATTGAGAAAGAATGAGAAATTAAAATCGAAAAAGGGGTTGACCTGAATGACGTTCGCCACCACTGTCAAAGACCGTATGAAGCAAATGGAGCAAGTTTAGAGATATGAAAAGTAAGAGCAATGGATTCAGGTTTTCCATAACAACGATTCTAATAACGAAAAAACCCCACTAATAGGAACGTCATCGGAACCAATCTTTGATGGTGTAAGTGGAGCTGATGGTTTGTTCCCTTTCCCTTGACTCCCTTCCATTGCTCAATTTCCTATCGATATCAGATTTGTAGAAGCCGACACTCCATGACGGTGGTGTTTTGATCGGAGAAAGATTTTACAGACAAACTCATCTGGGTTATCCATGGCTTAAGTAAGCCCATAACATTTCAAATCGTAAAGGAGGTGATCAATTTTAGAGTATTTCTAGTTATTTTTGTTTGATCGAATAAGAGAACCAGATATTCTTTTTTACGGTGATTTCAATCTTAATGCAAAAAGATATGTGTGTGTAAGTGTGTGTGAGAAAAAGAGGGGAGTGGACGAGGTTTGAAAAAAAAAGATGAATATTTCTTTGATTACTATAATTAAAAAGGGCATAATCGTAAACACATATATATTTCAGTGGATATATAAAAAGTTGGAGCGGAAGAATTAGCCAAAAAAAAAAAAAAAAAAAAAAAAAAAGACATCTGAACCAATCAGATGTAAAACGGTATCTAAAAAAAAGAAATACACGCTTCCAAAATTGCCCTAACCTAATCGACGCCCTATTCTCTCTCAAACCTCCGACACTCCACTCCTCCACATCGGCTCTCCGGTTTCACATCTCCGGCGTCATCGTCGCACAGCAGAGGTCGCTTCAGGTATGTACCGTTCTCCAATTTTTCCTTTTTTCTCTCCCCCAGATACGCTGAAATCGCCAATTTCTCGCTGAAATTGGGTTATTATTTGCTGAAATCGATTATTATCTGATTTTTGCTGAAATTATTTGATCGAATTATGTTCTTATGTTAAGGAATCTGTGCTGATTTTGCTGTTTTTTTTTCTGAGTCGAATTATGTTCTGATGCAAAATTTCTGAAATTATCCTCCACATTTTGATATTTTGCTGAAAAGTTTATAAGGTTTGAATTGGATGATCCCCTGGCTGTATTGAGTATACTATTGAACATACTATAGGTGCTCTTGTATGGGGTCAGGTTGTTTCAAAGCAAAAATCTCTTCATTTCTTTGCAAGATAGTTAAATACTTAAATATCATACTTGCAATGATCAGAATTCATTATGTGCATTTTTATGGATTTGAATTGGTTTAATCAGTCAATTTCCAGTTGTTGTTGTGTGTGCGTTTTTTCTTTAGATTAGCAACATTTTATCATTCACATGTTCAAGAACAGATCTAATTGTATACATTATTATTTCATTAAATTTTGTCTAAAATTGTGAGTACTTTATGTTTACATGCTAATTATGTGCAAATTATAAATAATATCCACTTAACATGTGTTGTAGACTGAAAACACCACAACAATTAACAGTAGCAACAACAACAATTACTGAAATAGACCACAATAATATGGTCTAATGCTTGATTGAAATGAACAAAAAACTAAGCAACAAGTTAATATACTATTTTCCAAAATAACCTTCCTCTATTCTATTAACTTTTGAGATGAGGTTTTCTTGGGATTTTGAGTACATTTACTTGTTTTGGACATTTCAGCAAACACTTGGTGGGCAAATGTCGAAAGGGCTTATCTGGGCAACTGCAGATGATCTGGCAAGAAATAGGGGAAAGGTTCTTTCTCTGTATAGGCAAATACTCAGAAGCTTAAATTCACCTGATTTGCCTTTGAATTTAGCAGCAAGATTGCACAGGAAAGCACAGGCACGTGCCATTTTCATGTTGGCTGCTGAAGAACGATCCATACACAACATTAAAGATCTGTTTGATATAGCTGAGTATTCTTTATCTCTCTTGAGAAAAGGAGAAATCCCTAAATATATTCAGTGACAAATTTATAAATCATAATAAAAATATATGTAGGAAGGGGTAGTATCGTAATTTTAACAAGGCATTTGGTTTCTTCTCATAATTGAAAACCATCAACTTTAGTAGAAACGTGCTACGATTGTAATTGCGAGTAATGATGTAAGGGGTTTCTTTTTATAAATTTGTCAAGACATTAATTTATATGAAATCTTCTCAACTACTCTATATGTATTCTTGTGGAATACCTGGGAAATAAATTTTTATTCGTGAACTATTTGTCTATAAATCCATGCTTATGCTTAACAAACTCCTCGCTACTTTCCTGTCTTTTTTTTATTTTTATTTTTTTAAATTTAAGAAGTTTTATTGCCATCTTTGAAAAACAAACGATTAAATAGTTGATCCAAAGAACTTTGGGTATCAAGTATCGCAATAGGAAATAGAAACCACTAACTAGATGATAATAATTTTTGATGATATTATATAGATCTTAACACAAACATAAGGCGAGCTAAAAAGATAAGAATGGGAATGGAAGACGATCACCAATCGAAAGCAAATAGAGAACAATAGTTGGGAGTATGATTTCATTTAGCATAAGAATGTTTCACACACATGACACAACTAGGGTTTAGTTGATATATATCTCAAGTAGGATACAATACATCGTAGGGGATTTGAACATATAATATATATGGAATATATATCCCATTAAGACATTTTGTGTTTTCAAAATTATACATATGAGAATATTTGTTTTTGGTCTCTGTTTTTTTAACTCATGCTAAGGTGAAAATTTGGGTTGGTTTATATATTGGATTTATTTCACACACCCACCACCCTAATGGGGAGAGGAATAAAAATTCCTAATCAGATGTGCCCTTTCTGCAATAAAGAAGTCGAATCAGTGAATCATCTTTTTATTCGGTGTGAGTTTGTCCAAACTGTACACTCTTGGATTTTCAAATGACTTGGATTGAGAAACAGAACGTGTTCGAGTGTCATGAAATTCCTTAACTCAGGTTAAGGATTGCACAACTGTCAAACAAAGAAAGCGATTGACAATACTGTCTTTTACTGCACGATCTGGACCATCTGGAACGTCAAAAATGAGTGGGTCTTTAAGAATATTCGGGTCTCTCCAACAAAGATAGTGGATGCCATTATTGCTAGCTCATACTCATTGTGCACACATGAGTAAAAATGGTTGTGGTGACTGGGCAAAATGATTTCCTCACCTTTTACTCATTTATCCTTGTAACTGTTTTTGCTTCTTTTTTCGTTTAACACTTCTGTACTGTTTAACATTTTTGTATTGTTTTTCTGTTTTTCTGGCGTGATTTAGTCACTTGCTAATCGTCGACCTTTAATGATATTTTTCGTTTAAAAAAAAAAAAAGAACCACCCACCTATCGAACGAATAAGTCTAAAATGAAACGTTACAAACGATACACATTTCATTAGTAGAAATGATCATTAAATATGATCATACGTACAAAATCACTTATATTCAAAAATTTTAAACTAAAATAATGGAAGTCATACAAGATTTTTGTTTTCTCTCCATCAACCTATGTTTTTACTCCTCCATCATTTATTTTAACTACAATATCCAAAACCTCAAACTTTATAACCCCCGTCTTACACTAAGATTTTTTTATCCATCGTCCAACGTTATGGATTCCCTTTTTGGTTTCTACTATCCATTTTTTTTTCTTCAATAGCTCCTATAATATCCTTCTTTGTGACTCCCTTAGAAATCAATTTCATATTTTCATATTCTGCTTCTTTGGTAAATATAATGTTCTTCATCGCCCCGTGCATCATCCATGTCCTAAGCTCACTGGATCTTGAAGGACAGTTAGATTTGGGGTGAATTCCAACTAGTCGAAAGATATTTTGTGAGTGTTATGCTTTTGATTTAATTAGGAGAATAAATGAATTGATGTGGCTTTGGTGTGAATCTTGTTATTGTTTTAACATGATTTTATCATGTTAATTCGTAAAGAGTTATGTGAGTGTTAGTGTATTTATAAGATGATACATGAGGATAAGGTGGTTAGAAGGGAGTGAGAATTTGAAATGTGAATGACCTCCTTTCAACTATTTTAATCAAAACAACATAGAAAGTTAAAGATTGGATTTGTATAATAATATTAAAAGAACGCTCTTCGGGGGTGTTTGGCTTTGCTTTTCAACATCAAAAATCCTTTTTGTAGAATGACTTTTAATAAAAGAACCTTTTGTGAAAGAAACTTTTTAAAAAATGTTTGGATTAGCAAAATGACTATTGTGTTAACTTTTACATGTAAAGTCACAAAAAGTCACAAAAAGTAAGGTTTTTGTGACTTTTTGAAAGACCTTATTTTCCTCTATACAAAAGTTATTTTCAAAATGATTTTTCTATTAACCAAACACCTTTTGTTTATTTTTTGACTTTTTAGAAAAGTTAAAAGCCAAAAATCATTCTAAAAGTAACCCCAAACACCCCCTTAATCATTTAGAATAGAAAAATAAAATTTTTGTTTATTCACAATCATAAAAGGTGATAAGTTTGGAATCCGAAATGTGTCAAAAATGTCTATTACCAAACCAATTGTCACTTTTTTCCTTTGTTTGATGTTGTCGCAAATTATTATGGTTTGGACCATGCTACCCTTAGTTAATAAGCCAGGAGATATCAATCTCTCCAAGAGAAGGCTAACGATGTTTGCAAGCCAATGGTGAGTTTTTTTTTCTAGTTTATCAACTTAATTTCTTTTAAACACTTCAGTCTTATGATTTATGACTTTTAGGTAGTTCTTTTATTTTATAGTATGAGAATGATCAGGATGCAAAGAGTGGAGTAAAAACATAGAAATTGGAGCATTTTCTTGAAGAGACATTCCGGCTGCAAATATACTTAATGGCAACAAGACAAAAACTGATTGAGATACAGTCCAAGATTGCTCATGGCCTATGGGTCTGTTAGTGGTCTAGATGATGGATTTGGCATGAAGAAATTTGTTGGTTGTCCAGATCAAAGGAGACCTTGAAGGTGCTATTGCTTGGGATGGAATGATGCATCATAGAAACTTATCACTTATTTTTGGTGTATTTTGTAGTTTTTTGGCATAGTGTTTTGCTTAATTTGTACAGAAAAATAGCAAAAAATGTATAGGAAAACAAACAAACTTTTGTTGAGATGCAAAAAGTATTATCTTTTTTCTTTATCATGTTAACATCATTTTTTTAACATAAAAACCCATGAACTTAATTTATTTACTTAATTACAGTTTTTTGAGAAAAATAACAACCTGATCATATTTTTTAACATAAAAAACTCTTTTACTTCATAATGAACCGGAATAGCAACGTACTATGAGCATTATAAGAAATTACTTTATTTTCATAAGTGCCCATTTTATTTTATTAGATAAAGCAATCATTTTTTTATTTTAATCGAACAAATCATTAGCTTCCTTGTATATTATGTCCCACATAAATGAAAAATGTTGCATTAAAATTTTGTTACAACAGATGTGAAAAGTTTTTATATGTAGACACTAAATTGGTTCCGAATTATCTGGCTAGCCTGTCATTCGATGTCCCCCTTTCCCTTCTCCACATAAAACCATTTGTGTGTTCTTTATAAAACGACAAGTTTACGAAATGAACTATTCGCTAACAAGAAACTATTCACCGCCCACTGTATTTTTTTAAAGAAACATTTATCACTGAAAAATTATTTGTCGTCGCTGTTTTGCGCGGGTACACCACTAGTTATTGATAAAAGTATAAAAGGTTCGTATTAATAATTAAACTCAAATACATTGCTATTTCACACAATTAATTATTAGTATATATGTATTTATTATATTCTCCATATTTAGTTTAGTGCATTTGTTTATATTATGCAGCCCATTTGTGTGTATTATGTGTGTATTATGTAGTCCATTGGAGCCATATGTACATTGTATATATATCTTCTGTTGTTTAATGAAAGTATTCATGGGAAAATAATAGTGTTTCATGGTATTGGCGATTTCTTCTCCCTCATTCTCGTCTAAACCCTACAACCGTTGTCATCATATTACCGCCTACATCTCTCTTCTTCGTTGTCATCACTTCTGCTTCCTCCCCTGTTCTTCTCACATCTCAATTTCTGCACATCTTTCTTCTCTGCTCATTCTGTCATGATGTCTGAATCCTCCAAGAATCAAAATCCCTTCGGTGTCACTAACATCAAAGTGTATGTCCCTCTGATATTGACTCTAAATCAGTTGAATTATGATGCATGGAAGGAGATTTTCCAAACCCATTGCAACAGTTTCGGGGTCAAAGGTCATCTAACAGGTACATCAGAAGCTGCTGATGATAAAGATGACGTCTGGTTCAACCTTGATGATCTGGTCAAAATGTGGATATATGGTACAGTCACTCAAAGCCTCCTCAATATGATCCTAAAACCTGGTGCAACTGCCCATTCCGTCTGGAATAAACTTGAAACCTTGTTCAAAGACAACAAATAGGCAAGAATGATCGAACTTGATCATGAACTTCGCACTCTTACCCTTGGGGATCTCTCTATTTTTTATTACTGTAAACGCATGAAGGTCATCTCTGATTTACTCACCCGAGAAAACCTTGGTTACATATCTTATCAATGGATTGTCACCAAAGTTTGACAACATTGCAACCATGCTGCTTCACCAAGACCCTATACCCCCTCTCCTTAAATATCGATCTATTCTATCTTTTGAGGAACGCACAATAAATCGCAATCCCCCAACCCAACCCCTCCATATGGATCATGCCTCTTCACCCATTATTCTTCATGTTGGAAACAACAATCGAAACACCACCAGCTCCTCTCGTGGTGGTCGCCGGGAAAATCAGCAAAGACGCAACAACAACGAACAACATCAACAACAACCACCTGCTGCCTCTGGAGGATCATTTCAACAGCCCTACCCGCTGCCTTGG